ACTCTTGATTCAACAACTGCTGATCACATCCAAATAAGATATGATTGAGACCTTGAAACCTCTTGTGAGCACTCTTAGACGAGTGGAGTCCTCTCTTGATGCACAAAACGGATGTTTGTGGTCAAATCCATGGCTGATTGTCCAAACAGGTCAAGACATGGCCGTCGGCAGTTCCTTCCCGAGACGATTGGCAAAACCCAGCTGTCTAATTTATGAAGAGGAGAAGTCAGCTTGATGCCACGAGTCCTGAGTAAGTACGTCTTTTTGCTGTTACCAGTGCCCGGTGGCGGTGTCGTTGCTGTTGTGCTGTTGTGCTGCTGGTGGTTGGCGGTCCTCCCTCCCATGATCGACCCAGCCCATCGCCCATCGCCTGGTCCTGCTGTGTCATGACTTGGACCTGGGTGACACGAAGGAATCACATCACCTGACACCCCCTCAGTTTCGAAGGGAAAATCAAGGTTAACCTTTTCCCACCTGGTTGGATATTGAGTGGAGTGTCACCAAGTCCAAAAAAGCTTTTGCAGGTGATCCACTTTTCCTGGGTCAAAAACACCCCTTGAAAATGACCTTGGAACCTGCAGACTGTGTCTCTACATATCACCCGAAGTCCAAGGTGGACAGGCTTCTGGTGTTCAAGCGGTCTACTGGAATTCTGGTTTTGCTACTGTTTAAGGCACAGTCACCTCATATCAAAGATATTGGTCAAAAATTGTTATAGAGCAAAGCCTTTCCAACAAAGCTTTTTCCAACTGGTTAGCAACGCTGGGACGCCTCCAACTTACTGAAAGCATGCCTAGCAACCTTTGCCAGGGTGATGTAAGGCCGGGGTCGGGGTTTGTGTAAGGTCCCAACCAATGGTTATACCATGTTACACCCTGCAAAACTAACATGGAACCTGAAAACCCCTGGTTGGTAGAGGAAAATAGTCTTCCATGGGCCCATTGTCAGGGTCTATGTTAGTTTTCGGGAATGTATACCTTATGGGAGCACCGGTGTGTCGGCGTTGCGTTTGGCGCCCCAGAAAGATCACAGGCTGTTGGACCCCCCCGAGGTCCTTCGCCGTGAGCGGATGTTTTTTCGGATGTGACAGGGGCACCCCTATCCTCCATGGGTCGCAACATGGAACTGCTGTTTCTTGTTATACATTGTGTTGGACATGTTAATGAATGTTTGTACAATGTATTTGGCAGATTCCTCTGAATATCCGGTCCTGTTTGGCAGATAACTACCTGTGTACATCTGGTCCTGCTCCTGGACGTCTGGAAACTCACATCGCCTGAACGCCACAAGGAGGAACTCTCCCAGAAGGAGGCCACTCGACTAAGGCTGAGGCCCTGCATCTCCCACGGAGTACTGCTTCGTAGTGCAATGGATTTGCTTTTGATGTGGACACTGTAACTTGTTTAACAGTGCTTGAAATGCCATGTACGGCAGAACACCCGGTGTGCCGTGGAAAGTAGTGACACACACACACACACATCACCAGGCTACAAGTTAGCAGCAAGTTTGGTCTTTGATGCCGTGACAGCTGAAGTGATCGCTTTGGAACTGTCGGCTATGAAGCTTACATCTGCTTCAGGCAGTCGGCAACTTGCTTGGCCAAGATTTGGTACGAACTGGGAGAGCAAAATCCTGCGGACCAGGAAACTCTGAGAAGTTCATGGACAAAGATCTTCAAAACTGGAACAAAACAAAACAGCCAAGCTTGCAACATGTCCCAACCCCCCTGGTTGGCCGGTCTTAACTCAATTGGCTTCGAACCTCCAAAAGATCCACCTGTTCACAAAAAAACGCGACTTTCAGGGATCGTTTGCTGTGAACATGTGTCTTCTCTCGCTCCATGGAAAGCTCCGTTCGCCGAAACCACCGGCTGGGAGACCGGCCCACTGGGCAGGATGCTGGGGACCGGTTGGTGGTGGAAGCAACCAAGGGATACGGGGTCAACGGTCACCAGTGGTCTTTGGAAGATCTTTGGGAGATAACTGACTTAACTGTCAAAATGACCACTTGGATCCAACAAGTGCTTGGCCAAAGGCAGGGTGGAACCTGCAAGTACACTGAAACATACCAATCAAACCACCTTCTCCAGGTATGTATCTAGATGTGGAGATACAGAAGCTATTTCATCACCTTCTGTTGATTGCTCACCTGTGCAAACCGGACACAGGTCTAGCCAGGCTTCAGAATCTTGTGCTACAAGCCAGAAACATGGCCCAAAGGCGAAGTCCTCTAACTCCTGCCTCGCGCGCCTTTTTGAAGCACCTGCTGCTCGAGCACATGCCTGTCTCAGCAAGATCTCACTTAGTGAGGAACTGCCATTCAGTGTGACCTCTGCGGTGATGCTGGCTGTAAATGCAAAGATTTTTTGTTGTAAACTCAACCAGAGGTATTACATTGCAGTCTTTTGCACGTCGTTTTATTGATAACATGAATCAATCCGCGTGGAGTCAAACATTTGTTTGTATTACTTTGCTCTGTCCAACTCAGCTTCATTATGATTCTGATGTTCTTGAATGTTAAGTAGCCCCCCAAACCCATGAAGTTGAATGACTTTCGCCCAATGAAATCCCCCACACTCTATCCAATTTGGTGGGTCAAATCACACCGAACTTCCTCAACACACGACCCCAAAACCTTCATCTGACTGGTACTTAGTAGGGAATGAAGTGCTCCATCAATTCCTCATTCCCTGCTTTCTTCACACAAGTCAGTCATGGGTATAGGACTATAACTAGGACTATTTATAATTGGAAGTCCATTTACAATTGAGTCAATCCTCGTCAATCCTCAATGACCCCAACACCCAAGTCTCCTCGTCGGAGTCGATCGGAGAAACCGGATTTTGAGAGGCCCCAAATCAGCGTCTCATGGCTGCTCCTTGGGAGAAATGACCCAAACAACTGGTTTGCCGCTGTCAGGGTAGTTAATCACAATTATGGCTGCACCATGTGACTTTCTTTGCCTTCCGGCATGGTAGCCTTCCTTTTGAATGAAATTCCAACGTCTCACATTCCAACCCGTCTTCTTCACAGCCAATCTTGCCCACCGGAGGATTTCGACGACTCTGCGCCGATTATAAAAAGACTTCTGCGAATCAAGAGACCCTGGGACGCCCTTCAGGCGATAAATTTCAGGTACACTCCGACCTAACTGCAGTGGCAGCCGTGGCATTCGAACGGCACTCATCGGCCTACATCGGTGATTGACATGGCTCTGTTTTCCACTGAACAACCATGTCTTTGTAAGTCGGAGTGTAAACCACGGCGGCCAAAAAACAGTCTACCTCTGAGTCTGGACAGTCTGGAGTCATTGTGGTCACTGAGTGTTCCCTTGAAAAAGATCGACATCGACAATGTGTCATATTGTGTCATCCAGCGCAAGATGGGTCGAGTTTTCTCACAGTGGATCGCTGGGATGGAACTGTTTGCGAGGCACCAGGCTGTGATGCTGGTTTTGGAACCAACATGCAAAGGCTTTATAGTGCACATGCTGCGTAATCCATCTGTAAGAGGCTTCACACCTCTACTTTGATAACGCATAGACTTGGTAGGTGGATGGTGGATAGTAACCTCTCTAAGCTTTGCTAAGTAATGTACCCGTTTAAATAGGCCTAGATGGTGATGTGCCCATCCATGTAGTCAATCTGCCACGAGCTTCCAATGATAAACTCTCCAAAAGAACAGCTGCTTCGGCTTCGCAACCTCCACAAAAAGAATCAAATGAACAACACATTGGACATGTTTGCAGCATGTAATGATGTCCAACATCCATACCAGTGCTCAGGACATTGATCATTACATGCTCAGGACATATCAAAGGGTTCCATATCAATGACCAATCGCGTCTCTCAGGACTTCAAAGGGTCCCAAATGGGCCGTATACCATGGCCGAGGCCGAGCCCCGGGGAACAACACACTTTTCCGGTGACACATCGGACCTGGCCGACCTTCCATTCGACTCTGCTTTTGGGGTGAAGAAAAACCGTGGTTGAAGCTTTTGGGGGTGGAGTATGGTTGAGTAGTAAAGGGACATTAGAAGGGTCCAAGAGTATACCAAAAGGAATGGTGAATAGGGAAACCCTACGGGAACGATCTGTCCCCAGCTTTCCAGAGCCAGTCCGCCGCAGTCGTTTAGGACTTCATGGCTTAAATAATTTGACGCATCAAAGGCTGGAAAATTGTGCTGGGCATGTGAAAGGTAGGCCTCTTCCATGCAGCAGGTGAGGTTGTCTAAAAAGTCTAGCTCTATCTTTCTGTATACCACCTTTTGTTGACCATATCGTTCTGCTGTGCTTTAACTAACTGCAACATGTGCGTGCACTGCATGCAATTGTGTTGTGTGGAAATGGCAACAGTGACTCCATAAGGCAGTTCATTTCAGACTACCACAGCTAGTACATATGTGGGCCATTATGTACGAGTGTACGGAAAAGCGTTGAGTGAACCTCTACGTTTTTTGGTGTCTGGCACAAAATATAACATGGATGTCTATGCACAAACAAAGGTCACTCCTCGTTGTCTTTTGTGGGAGACAAACCTGAGAGGAAGGGTTGTCCATCTGCAGGGTTATCTGTATATGTTCTTCCTTGTCGTTTTGCAATGTATGGAGCATCCTCCTGACAAAATGGACATATAAAGATTACCTTTTTGTTTAATACTTTCTCAGGTGGATGTTTGTACGTGTGAAGTGCAGCTTGTTGCTTCGGCTTCTCCCAAGATGAACTCATATCAAGAAAACCAGCTCAACATCACACTCTTCTATGCCCCAGTAGGGCCAAGTCTAAGTTGAGCCAATTATCAACTTCTGAACAGTTAGAAGTACTAAGCAATGCTCATGGACTCTCATCTTGAGGATGCCAACTCCCAACACTCAAGTTCAGAAAGCCCGACATATAATAAGGTAGTCAAAAGGTGGTCACTCCTTTTTGAGTGGATGACGCACCATTTTCCACAGCTGCGTTATGTGTTTTTCTCAATTTCTTCCCCAACACCTCCCGGTTTCCGACAAATCAAACGAAGCATCACGTCCGAGCCACCTTCTCCGAAGGCGCAAAGGCTCGCAATGGAAGGCGCTCACCGTTTCACTCGGTCCGACCTTGTCGGAGACCGCCCCGCAGAGTTCGACGCGCCGCGGCGCACGCGCCCGCGCCGCGGTGCATGGCGCATGGCCCGGTGCCTGGACAGACACCGTGGAGAACTCGGAGGGCCGAGGTCAAACAAGAAGGACCGAGGGACAAATTCAATCGCGTGGTTCAAGAACAGCTATGCTTCAAAAGAACTCCATCAATCGAACAACTATGGAAAGCTATATGGATGACATGAAGAAAGAACGAACATCCTACTTGTTTGCACAAGATGATGTTTGTCAGTTTCATCTTCCGTTTCCTTGGGCTTGAAAAATATCCCACCATATCCCACCGTTTCAGTGTCCAACCTGTTAGGTCCACTCGGGCCGGAGGGACCTGTCAGTCTGAAAGTCATTAGCTTTCTGTGGTGAGACCATCCGTTGTCAAACGATTTCTGTGGTGAAGCCACCTGAACTCCCCCAGCAGTCGTTGAAAGAACTTTGTTGGCATGAAATCGATGCGGCTTTGGGCTGGGAGGGCTGGTGAAAGACAAATGCCAATCGATCTGGTTGCGTAGGCCTTAAAACGTTATCTTAAAAAACTATATATAAAGAATGAACAACCCACTCACGGTGCAAATTCATCGACGCTCTGACTGGCGCTTCTTCTCCAGCGCTTCAGATGCTTTTGACAGCCACCCCTAAAGCAAATGGACACAAATTCGATCAATCCGAGTTGAACCTATCGGGGACCGGTCAACCCCTTCACTCACTGGGGGATCAGCCCATTTTACAAGGAATGGGCGATACTTGCAAGTAGATCCAACATCGGTTCTTAGCGAAGAAGCTGCTTGAGGGACAAAAGACTGACAAATCAGCTGAATTGTCACGTGCCGTAGAAAAGGGGTCATCTATATATGTATATAGGGTGATGGTTTCTTTGGGTTCCGAAAATCCCTCATATAGTGCAATCGATGCCCAGACCCCTCCAGTGATGTTAGAAAGGGCCCTGGTGACAAATCGAGGGTCCTGGTGAGTGTCTTCAGAACTCTCCCTTGAAGAAATATACCAGAAATTACCAGAAGCTCCTATACCAGAAATTACGAGAAGCTTCTTAGCAACTTAGCAATGTTTAACTTTAGTGTGCAGAATTCTGCCGTGAAGATCCTTGAAGAACCATGATGATCCATCTACCTGTGGACTGGGGACTGTCACCTTCACCGTCCTCCCGGTCACCCGGCGTGGCTCCGGCTCCGACCTTCGTTGCGCCTTAGAGAATTCGGTCATCCGCCGAGAGTGGGGAGATGCCGCGCATGAAGTTCGACCTGAGGCCCGTCTGCTTCGGTCCGATGCGGCACATGGGCTTTCCACCCCATGCGACCACTGGTGGTGGGTCAATGTACTTTGGGTCATGTAAAAGTCCAAGACACGGCATGGGATTGGCATATTTATACCATTGATCCTCTTTCAACCAAGGAAACTGCCTGTGTACACCTCATAAGTGTTTCATTCTTGCTCTGTGTGATTCGACTTGACGCTTTCAGGGCCCAAACATCCTAGATCCTAGAAGAGTGACTTTGCATCGACCGCTTTGGGGGTGCAGCTTGCATGTTTTTTGGTATACACCTGATGTAAAAATGCTATAAAACGTTCCTTCGGCTCATGGTCGAATTGGTGGGAAAACGCTCAGGGGGCATCCTCCTTGGAGTCGGTTGGTCTACGATAATAGGTGGCTGGTGTTGAAGCTTCAGATCTCTACAGGAAGGCGAGAGGTCCAGAGATCCAGTCCAATTCTGCCTGTCTAGAGTGAGTTGATGCGGGATTTCCTCAAGTCCATTCTATCTTGGGTTTTCCAACCTTGAAGAGGAACATGGTCTTTCAGGGGGTTGAAATCTGTTAAAATGGTCTTCCAGGGGGCCTATGTTCCGCTTCTAAGATGTTAAACTCGGGGAGTGTTAATACTCTTGTACTCAGACCTCGCCAAAAATCGTTCCACTGTCTAGTCTCACAACCAAGGGCGAAAATATACGTGATGGAAACCTGGGACCCCCTGGCAAAACCCCAAGGAGTTCATCAGATGGAGGTACAGTGCCAAACTTTCTCTATCAGCAGGGCGTTCATTTCCAAGTGTTTCTCTTGCTCTGTGACACTGGCGAGATACACAACTACAGAAGGCCAAGGAGGTGCTATAGGCCATAGGCTTTTGTCCTTCAACAAATGGACGGAAAGGACTAATTACCCAAATTGCAAAAGAAGCACGCACCACTCAAAAGCTCTTGGCTCATGATTCACTCATGATCGCCAAGCCCTCAGGCAAAACCCCCCAAAACAACGGACACGCCCACTTGGTTCAATTCCCAGTCACCATCTACCTTGCTGCCGCCCTGGCGGGGCAACCACCCCCCAAAATACCCTCCTCTTCACACCAGGTGAACCGATTTCCTGCTTCCTGCTCCCTAAATCCTTCTGCTCTAGGCACTTGGGCAGGTCCAGTTTCTCCCCAGGACCTTGGCGGTGTCCTTTCCGCGTGTTGATTTCATCCAGGACCTCGGTCATCTCTCGAAGCTTCACCTGAGGGATGGAAGCGTGAAGAAACGTTCCACAAGAGAGAAACACACACACACACACACGTTGAGTCATGTTGGGACTCAAGTGCCATCCTTGAGAGGACCAAAGAACCTGGCCTGTTCTTTTGAATGGTATCATATATTGAGGCACATAGGCATATATAACGTGTCCCAAAACAGTGAGCAGCAAAGAATTACGAACTGACGAACCTTCCCCATTGCCTTGGCCTTACACTAGTGATGTCCGAACTCTACAGTCTACAGGTCGCCACAAGACACTCCGACCAGGTAATCTCGGTGCTCGCACGAACCGAGTGACGTCGTGGAGCTCCACCCGCTGCGTTCGTGTGACCGAGTGACTCTTGAAGACGGAACGACCGGAGTGACCGTCGTGCGCCAGCAAACCCCTACATATCAACAAAGCCTTTTATGGAGAAAGGCTAGAAAAATAGATGCAACAACTCAGGCTTCCTGGTTCCTGGGACAGACTTATCATATCGAGGTAGGGGGAACAACAGCAATTCGGGCACCTTCTCCTTTTTCCAGTTCCTGAGACCTCTCTCCCACCGGTTTCACAGTTCAACCCACTTCCCGTGTTGAACCACCCAAACACGGAGACCTGTCACTTCCGGAACTGTCTGTGCTAACGTCCCAGTGACCTCCACGTAACTCTGGAATCGCCCCTGAGCTTTGATCAGCCAACGCTGGTCATGGAGCAACTTCCCCAAGTCCACTCCTCGGGCTTGGCCCCGCAGCCTGGCCCCCGCAGGTTGTCCGGTTTATCCGCGGGGAGTGCGGTGCATCTGAAGGTGGTTTTTGTTGGGCGCGTTTCGGTGGTTTGAATGCGGACAGAAAGGCGTGCTTCGGTGGCGCGGCTTTCTTGAAATAGGCAGAGAGCTCTCCGACAGAGCTCTCCTTTGGGTGAGGGTGAGGGTGCCGAGGGTTTTGGGAGCGGCGACAAACACACAAGAAGTCGCGGAAAACTACACCACAACATGGAGAAAACTCCCCTTGTCTTCATTGAAATTGTCACTTGTGTGGCTTCTTGGCTACTTGAAAGCTGAACATGGCTGTCATCTCAAAGCAGTTGCCATGTTATGGACACGGTCCCCAGCACAAGATCAATGAAACTGGAAACCCGAACAACCAGAAACAAATGTTTGTTCAGTTGTTCCAATATTGTTATATATATGTAATGATATGAACTTATATAAAAACATCCATTGGGTATAACCTATTGCCCGTAACAGTGGATAATGATGGTTAGCAAAGGCCTTTCTCCAAAATAGTCACAATTGTTTACTGACCCTTACAGGTTTCTTGGCACACCCGCTAAATGTTTCTGGTTCTTTGGGTGTCCACTTTCATTATCCTCAATTCAAATTGGGAACTTCGACTCAACAGGGATCCAGCTGAGTCGATTTCCTTCGACCGACTCATGGGAAGCTTGCTGCATTGCTGAGAAGTGGACGCCAGGATGCCTGGAAGCTGTGCTCCAAGGCCGCTGAAGCTTGCAACAAGGCCCAAACAAACAATTGCTTTCCAGCATTCAAGGTGAAAAGGTCCAAAACAGCTAAGACGACTCAACCACCTACAAAAGCTGAACTGTAAATACCAGCCGATGTGCCCCGGTTGGTCGCTCCCGTTCCACCGTTCTTGGTCGCTCCGGACCTCCCCGCGCCCGCCCGGGCGCGTTGCGCGGGGACCGCGCCGGGGCGCCTCAAGCAACCTTTAAAAAATTCCTCGATCTCAACCTTAGAACACTCGTCGTCTCGTAGACATCGGCAGCGCGGACCGCACGGACCATGCAGAACGTACAAGCATCAACAAAGGATTCGGTCGGGACGCTGCTTTCCAAACGCAAAGTTGTTGAAACGCAAGGTCTGAACGCCCAAAACGCTTGAGCTGAGCGATCTAAGATCTCAACGGAGCCGCCCGCGTCCAGGTCCAGCAACTTGAAGAAGGACCATGCATCCCACACGTCCAAGCCTCGTCGGAAGGGCTTCAAGAGCTTGGTGTAAAGCAAAAGAACATCCATACAGCTCTTTTTGGACCCCCAAATGGATAGAAAAGTTGCTCCCATCTCTATATTGGGGATCACTATACTATATAGATAATAGTATCTCTCAAGATGTGACAAGAAACTGCGATGTCGGTGATGTTGAACCACTATATATATATATATATATACATCTTCAGGTCTCATTTGAATTGGCAAACCGTGGAAGACCCTACTGCTATGTCGCTCACAATGGCCATGTTGGATCGGGAGAAAAGGTTCGGATTTTGAGACTTGCCAGCAAAGGTCAGGTCTTCTCAGAATTGGAGTCATCCAAGCAGCTAGAACGAGTCTAGTCAGAATTTGATCATCCAGACCCGCATCACAGACTATGATCCAAACAGGTATGGTTATAGACAGTTGAAATATATACAGTAATATGAATATAATATGATCATCCAAACAAGAACAGACGTGAATATGATCATGCAATCAGGTAGACAGAATCTGAGACAAGCCAAATGCATTCAACACCAATCACCAGCCATACCAGGACACCCAGGACCGCCAGGACAGCCATCTAAAGCCCTAAGGAGTGCCTTTCTGGGGGCCAAGGAATGCCCAAATCACTAACTCCTTCAAGTCCAACTGAGGTCATGCTCCAAGTCATCTCCGACTTGTGGCCTCCTGTGCAGAACGTCCTACAAGCCCCCTGTGCATCAGCCCCGGACTCGCTGTTGGCCAAGTTGGCCAAACGAATCTGGCCCGAAATCCCGGACATTCTATGAAAGTAACTGAAATCCCGATCCTTGGAATCTCAAAAGACATTCATAGAAATCCTTAGAATTCCAAGGATCCTCAAAAGAACAGTCGCAGATCCTCCAGTTCCAAATTCCCAAGAAAGCCACTCGTCTCTGGCAGCTCTCGCAATTCACGGGGACCTATATAGTAATTCAGGAAAAAAATCATCTAAGTCCAAATATAAAAAATCCATGTTCGATCTAAATCCATGTTCATCTAAGTATATTATAAAAAATCATTTTTATTGTATAATTATATCTAAATCCAAGTTCGCTTGGACGAGTCATGTTCAGACTTGGGTCAATACTTCAAGTAAGGTGCCAAGGGTGTCGAAGTATTCGGTCACCGCTGGACTTTGAAGGCCTTCCTGAGCATTTCGACCGGAGCTCAGGCGCGCGCAGAAGGGGATGAGGCGCTAATCCCCTCTTGTTGCCTCATCTCTTTGCATAGAGTTTAGCCAATCCCTTTCAGTATTAAACCTCTGACGTTTTCTGTTGACACATCTAATCTAACTACAGTAGTAGGATTTGTCAACCTTCCAAGGAATAAAGGGGTTTCCCCTAGTGGCACCTGGAGTTTCTACAGGTTTAGTTCCTCTGTTCGATTGCCTTTCCAGCTCTCCGGAGGCATAGGTTCGGTGGATGCAGCACATGCCAACCTTTGTTCAATCATCAATAGCTAACCATCCGTCCTGCAAAAACAAAACTTGGAACCGGAAAGTAGTGACACGCGAGGGACACCCGGGTGCCTTCAAGGTCCATTTTCTCAGGGGCGTCTACTTGGTAAATCTGCCTCTGCACCGTTCTATTTGGATTGTCAGCAGAAGTGGAGGCCTGCACAAACAAGGCCTGAACAAAAAAATATGCGTTTAGGTAAGCATGTCCATCACCCTTATAGATCCTTATAGTACTATGTGTGAAGTGAATAGACAGTTTAAAACCAACTAAAACCAAGAGATGTTGAACATCCTTTTGGTCATTTTGTTGACTCTGCATCGGGTAGTACAATGCGGAATGTGGGGCCCCGAGATTCCTTTGCTCAAGACCTCCGAGTCGGGAGCCGCTCATCCATCCAAAATCGAACACTTGAGAGGGAAAAACAATTGAACACTCACTGTCACTTATAAGTAGTAGAAGGCAATCTTAAATGTCAAATGTTCCAAAACTAATGTCAAGAGAATCAGACCAACAAAAGCCTGAACTTTTTGAAATGTCACAGAAACTGTCACAGAATATCTATAGCCACGGCCGTTATTCCTACTCCGACCACCGACACTCCAAGCATCTTCGAACATGCCGTAGGTGATAACCCCTGTCTTGTCGGCACCCAACCGGCTGAACAGCTGCTTGATCTTCTCCACATGTGCCTCGCCCGTCGAACGGAACCGTCGAACGACTTCGGGGCGCCTTCGTACGGTACAGGAGGTGGCGCTAAATTTGCACTACAGTATGTCATGTATGCTTTGAGGTTCTATCTTATACCGATAGCGGGTTATGTAGCTTTAGACATTAAATAATACCAACCCCTGAAAGCTATAGCTGAAACGCATACACCGACAAAACTTGCTGTACTGGACCAGGACCCGATCCGTTCCACTTGTGTGTTGCTCAAGTTGGATCCACCCAGTGACCAGGAGACCCTCCAGACAGAGTAGTCTATACCCTAGTCTAGACTAGGACGTCTCCCTACCTCCAATACACACCCATGTACGATCTGTGTCTACCTCTTGGAGATGAAGAACTTCCAGTTCAACATCCAAGAAACGCCCTGGAATTCACTCAAGTCAAATGGTAGGATACTGGCCACCACCATGGAGTCGCGAAGTTGAAAAACAGAGCCACGATCTCGCATGGATTCCTGTTGGTTGTTAAGGAGACAGAGACCAAAAATGATTCTTGAGTTCAAGAGTATATTGCAGATTCCCCTGGAAAAGCATCAACATGTGAAGTGGCTGGGGATCAGTAAAGTGTTGGATTGGTTCTTTTTTGCCCGCACCTACACACCGCACCTCCTTGTTCGCCAGCATGGACTGAACCACGTTTGCGTGGTCGTTCTGCGCACTGTCGATGGCAGATTGACAAAAGACTCCTCCCAGCGGCGCTGATGTCTGACAACACGTGACGTGCAACAGACATGTCCTAGTAGCTTCTTGTTCCTAGTAGCTACTTGGCCCTAGTAGTACGGCCAGGAGCCCCGAACGTAGCTTCTTGTCCCCAGACTTCACACGTCTGGTCTGGTGTCGCACGTTTCGTGGTGCCAACATGTGTCGCAAGCGCTGGTCGGATCGCGTCCGCGAGCTTGGGTAGTTCGCATGCGCTCATCCCGTGGAAACCGTATCACCCGAAAAAAGACCTTCTTGGTGTGCTGAGATGGGACTGCTGGGCACATGGTTTAGAGCAAAGATGAGTGTGTGTCTTAGCCGGATTTGCAAGTTCACGGGTCGATCGCTTGCAAATTCCCTTCGCACAATGGAAGCTAAGCTACGGCCCATCCAATCCATGTCAGTTGTTGAACGACCACCGCAGTCTCCTTGTTGAAATCACACGAGACTATGTTGAAATGCCCGGGAGCCAACTGCCCCCGTCCCATTTGATCGACGCCGATATCTTTACAACTTCCACAGGGCGGAACAGGGCGGTAACAGCGATCTCCAACGGCTTGACCGCTTGCGATCACCAACGGGATCCAAAATCGGACACCACAGGAGCGTGGATGGTAGATGTCCTTTCCAACCAAACTTCAATCCGATGTATGATACATCTTTCCATATGGCACACATCTGACGTTCTAAGAGTTTTGGAAACAACGGGGCCTCGATCTATGCAATTGATTGGTTTTGGATGATGCAGTCTGCACATGCTTGCGGTGTCCTGTGACAACATTGAGCACCGCGAAGTAAGTGAACGATATCTGGCATCGCATCATCGACATCATCGAGTTTGGTATGAGGAAGATTTCTTCCAAGACTGGAAGGTCAGTGGGTCAAAGAGTCAAAGCTCTTCTTGCATTCGATGTTGATGATAAGCATGTTATGGGTTATTGGGCATTTTGGAGCGAACATTACCAGTGTTGTGATTGATTTATCTCCACTTGAAACTTGTCTTGCCTTGAGGCTAGTGATGGCTAGCCATCGTCAAACAAACCGCCGCTGGTACACTAGCCAGAGTGATCCTTTTCCCCTCCTTCTACCATCAGCAGGTCTGGTTTAGTGGTGGCTTTGTTCAAAGTCCACCACAGGAAGTGTATACCGATCTTCATCCTGAAGGAAACTTTGAATAGTCCTCATCGCACAATTTCCTCAGCGGTGAATAGAATTTTCATGACCTTTTCCCTTCCAAACAAGTCAAACAAAAACAACACGGTTTCCGAAAATTGATCTTTTCCGTGTGCAGCTCTAGAGCTGTGCCATAGTCAGTCTCTCCCATCAATCTCGTGCCACCCACAAAGAACAAAACCCAACTAACGCGAAGCCGCAAAATTCCAAAACTCCCACAGCAAAAATGACAAATCAAAAACAAGAACATGCCAATTGGAGCAAGATCATAAAACATCCTAAAACATGTGGCAAAGAGGGATAAAAGAACGAAGAACCCGGGTCAAGTGCTGGGGGCGGTGCGTAGCCCACATAGACAAAGACCCAGAGGTAGGAGATGATCCTCAAAGGCGCAATGACCTCTTCCCAGCTGACGCCACCTGTGAGCGGCCGAGCCGAGCCGGGCAGAAGCTGCTTAGCCTGGTTTTCCTGATCTTAGAAAGAGAAAAGTGTCGGATGAGGTTCGGCTTTCCCCTGTTCTGTATTTGAAACATGTGAAGAACATGTCATTTTTTGGGTGACGGAAAACAGATCAAATGACAATACCTCCCAATTTGGTTTCCTGAGATTTCCACAAAAAAACTCCTCTATCAGCGCCCCCGGACCTACCGCAACGTCGTGCCGCCATAAATGTTTAGCCTCCAAAGAGATTGGGATTGATATGGTTTGAATGCTGTCGCCACAAGTGGGGGCTCTTTGGCTTCAATAAACTGAACCATTGCTCTTCGGCTCTTCGTTCGTCCTACCGAACACCCTGAACAAAAACCCTCCTAAATCCAAAGGCCACGACGTTTGTTGGTGGACCACGCATGTTTGTTTGGTATCATGTTACCGTGGACATCGCTTCTGCTTCGGAGAGGTCCGAGACTCGGGAGTTGGGGCGGACACATGGAAAAAGGGCTCGCAAACTTCTGCAAGGACAAGCTTCTTGAACATCCTTGAACAACAAAGACAACAAATTTGCAAGTACACAACATGTTGGTTCTCCTTCATATGTATCTTCTGATCCCCTCAGTGTTCATGACAATGGAGCTCCACCTGCCAGCCCTATTGAAGCGTTTTGTTATACTTAAATTGTTTACCAAGTGCCAAGCCCCCGTACAAGGTTGGCTTGTTCGGGTTCGCCCAGAGCATGGGTGCGAAATGATCTTCCGGTGGCCTCGCCTGAGATACTCATGAAGAGAGTCAGCATGGTGTGAGGTAAAGAAGCAAAGTACCTCGTCACAGCCTCAATGCAGCTGGGCAGGATGGTAGGGGCAAACACGCGATTGGTCACTTTTTGATGGGAAAAGGACAGCATTATTGAAGTATGCTTCAGGGCCCTGCTTCTTGGCATGTCTGGATTTTGTGAGGAGAGGGAAGGACACCCCAACAAAAACAAACGTGGTGGAACCGGGTCGTGTAAAACCATGCAACGATTACTTCAGGTCCATGCAAATCCATTCAACCGACCAACAAGTTCACAAAAAACAAGATGGAACCCACGAACCCGAATGCAAACACGATCGAAAAACTAATATGTCCAAAGGACACTCTTGTAGGACACTCTTGCGGGACACTCTGTAGGACACTCTTGTGGGCCACTCTTGTAGGAAACTCTTGTGGGACACTCTTGTAGGACACTCTTGTGGGACAC